AAAAAAAAAAAGAGAAACAGAGAGAGAGAAGGGAAGGAAAAAAAAATATTATAATTTTGGATTGATTTGACGATTATACCCCTAAATTTAACGGTTTTTTTTTACAGGGACTATTTAAGAGTACCTGTAGACCATTAATGATACAAAAAAACGTTAGGGATGCAATGTGATAATTTCGCAAACGTCAGGGACGTTTTGTGATAATAAGCCTTACAACTTTTTTAAAGACATGAAAAGGTACAGAATACATTGAGTAAACAGTATAATCATTTTCAAAACCCATACCCAACTGAATCAATTTTAAAATCAATTCCAAAGTCAACAGAATAACAAAATATGAGCCCTGGTTAGCTTATTGTTTCAGTATCAGTATCAGTATCCGTATAAGCAATAGCAAAGGGCTTAGCTCCTTCAAAATCTCAATCACAAACAAAGACAACGCCAGTTGGTTTATCACATTTTCCCGGAAAGAAAACAAAGCAATCAACACAATTTACAGAGACAACGCCAAAAACCCCAACCTAAAATTTCAGAAAAAGCCAACCAACATACATTTTCCAATCATGGTTTCTAACCATATATCATCCCGTACGATTGCTAAAGAATTCAAACTTTAGTATTTCATTCGGTGCAGAGGAGGAAATAAAATAAAAAAATTCCTGCACTTTCTCCGGAAACAGAGAAATAATTTGAAGGTGATAAAATAAAAACGGATTGGTTACTGGATTTACCTCAAGGGGAATCAAGAGTCCGAGAGAGATTTGCTCAGAGTGGCTGTAAACCCTAATTTGGTTTCGGCAGAGAAGAGAAACCCTAGCGATTAGAATAAAAATGGTTCGGATGGATGGAAGGGACGACTGAGGGGTTTATTTGTACAACTGAACGGCTGCGATCAACTGATATTTTTTTGGAGTGTCATGGTAATAAACATATATTTTTTGGGGTTAGAATAAACATCCAATTTTCAACATTAAACAAAATTCTTTTTTCAGTACTAGTGATAAATTACCCAATAAAAATTCACTTTATAACTTACTTACCTCTCCGCATGCGCTTCCGCGCCTGCGAGATGCTTTTTAAAAAAAAATTAAATTTATTTTAGAATTAAAAAAAATATAGGTAGTTGTGTTCCATAAAAATAGGATCCATAATCTGATTTTTCTTTAAATTTTAATTTTTTTAATATGAAAAAATATGAATTTACCATATTATCCTCATTTAATTAATAATTTCAATTCTTAATGTTTGCATTAACCAATGGCATTTTTTGGTATTTGCCATATATATCATGAATGCTCCGTGAATTTGTTAGAAGTTCTCTTTTCTTTTCTTTTTTTCTTTTTTTGAAAATAAGCGATAGTGTATTATTGATGAACAAACAAAAGTACAAAGCAATTATGAGCCGAATATGGGTAAATCTTCTCTAATGATTAAACACAACAACATATTGAATTGATTTAGAGAGAATCACGCACAACTCAAACAATAACTAAATCCCCGATCCAACAACCAAAGGCCCATGTAACCAGAAGTTCTCTTTTCAATTCGCAAACTTGCAAATTAATCAATCTAGTCCACAAAACAATTTGGTCCATCATTACATTTCATCGGAACTTTCGATGAAATTAGTACTTTAAAGAGGAAACAAAATAAAGCTTTTTTCTGGAAACTATGGGATGTTTACATGAAGCTAGAATGGTGATAGTCGGACAATGAAAAATCTTTACTGCGGACATTTGAAGCTCCAATGACCGTACCAGTAACAAAGATCATGCTTTAGTGGAGTTTATAATACAATATTCTAGTGGAAAACCAATTCTTGCAGCGAGGAGCAATTTGGGTCAAACATCTAATCCAGCTGAGGAATGTACAATGTAGAACTTCAAAAGAACTTTCAAATTAAAAGAATATGAATTAATAGTTGAAGCTCAGGCCATTCGGCTTTGTTTTTTTAACAAAATTGAGTCAACCAAATCCCTAAAACTACCTGCTAAGTATACCCTTTTTCTCCTAGAAAAGGGAAACACACCATCTGAGCACCATCTATCCAAAATTTCTGAAAGCTTCCAACACCCACATATACATACCAATCTGCCTACAAGAAAACTGCAACGCTGATGAAAATTTCAATTATCAGTACAATGCTTGTAAAAGCATTGCTGTGAAGGTTGTAGGCAGAAGAATCTACACTTGTGGAATTCAATGATGGAGCTGTGATATTTACCAAGGTGCCATTCTTGCCAAGACTGCGAGCACAAAATAATAATAATCAAGATTCAAATGGTGCCATAATTGTTTTGTACCACCAAAAAATAAGTTAATTGCTCATCTAGCTAAGTGTAATATATAAGCAGAATTTTACCTTCCTGGAAATATGCAGGATCCATGGCCTGCATAATTGGAACAGAATTGTTAACATTGATGCATAACTGATAATAGTTTTTAATAAATTGAAATAGAACCTACAACTCGGAGAATGTT